CAGCCTGCCTTCTCATTCTGCCCCATCCTGCATGCCACTGTTCTTTCCTGAGTGAGGGGACACATCCTAGCCTCAGCAACTCTAATGAGATTGGGCTCCTCTGGTTCATGCTGCCCTGTTTTTTTTCCTTTTAAGAGCTTAGGATAGACAGTTATAGAATGGGCCTGCTGCAGTGCCCGAACTCCTTGGCTCCCAGCTCCCTGGCTAGTGGGCTGGCCTGGCCTTTGTGGCTGTTTGTCCCTTGGCTGGTGGTGGGCATGAACTAGAGTTGTGGGAGTGCCTGGCTTGCCTGAACCTGGCTGCCTACACCCATCCGCACTCCCTCCTGCCCTGGATGAACCTGCTTAAGCCAGAGCACATACTGTCTTGCATGCCTTGCTGTGCTTTCCCACCCCTTGCCTGTTGCTCGTCAGCTTCCACCTCATGGTGTGTGCTGCCCACCCCAGTGTGTTGTGTGTCTAATCCTCTCTCTTGTTGCTGTCACTCTCCTCTTCTTGCTGGCGTCATTTCTCTCATCCCATCTCATTGGCTGCCGTAGCAATAGGTAAGCAGCCTATCAAGCTGCCGCCCAGGCACAGGTGGGTGGGGGGCCCTGCCCCCCCATCATTGTTTTCTTCATCTGTTTTCATTCCCTGAACTCGTCCTGGAATTGGATCCTGGACAGGAATGAATGGTCCAGCTCCATGGCCCCTTGGTGCTTCTTCCTCAGTAGATTAGAGCCTTCTCCGAAGTCACAGTGGCTTTGTCTCAGTTCTAGAAGAGCCACGCCTCCCCACTGGTAGGATCACAAGTGGGAGAACTGAAGAAGGAGTAGGGTATCTTTCTCATTTGGGCCTGGAGCTTAATGAGAAGTTAGAGAGGTGGCAGCTGGGAAATTGGGGCCAGGCCTGGGAATCGGGAACATACCTCCTTAAGCCTGATGGACTTTACTTTATTAACACTACACCTGTCCTCCTATCATTCCCACCTGACTTCCCTGTCTCTGGTGGCCTTCAGACACCAGCTCAGCTCTGGCCCTACTCCCATGCCTCTGCTGGGGGCCACAAGGGAACTGCCCCAGTGGTTTAGGCATTGGCTTCAGAGTACATGTCAGACTTAAGCAGTGAAAGGGGGAAAGGTTGTTAGCAGCTGTGGTTGATCCCCATGGAGTGAGGTTTGACGGGGTGCTGAGCAGCCCCTATGTACCTTTTCCCTCAGGAGGAATGCAGTGGATGCCTTTCGGGTCAATGTTATCCACGCCCGGCAGCAGGTTCGCAGCCCCGTCACCAACATCGCTCGCACCAGTTTCTTCCATGTTAAGCGGTCCAACATCTGGTTGGCAGCTGTCACCAAGCAGAATGTCAATGCTGCCATGGTCTTCGAATTCCTCTATAAGATGTGTGACGTAATGGCTGCCTACTTCGGCAAGATCAGTGAGGAGAACATCAAGAACAATTTTGTGCTCATATATGAGCTGCTGGATGGTGAGGCTGGCAGGGCGGTGGGCCCAGGGTGGGGATGGACCTGATGGGGCCTAGCCTGGAGGTAGGGGCACGTGTGAGGTTCCCTCCAGTGTCCTGTGAACTTCATTTCCTGACTGTCTAGTCTTTTGAGCCCTGAAAAGGCCAGTCTAAATTCAGCCCTAAAGGCTGCTCTGAAGTAGAACACAGAAATAGGCTAGCGAGTGGAGGTGTGGGGAGACAGGGCGGAGGACCAAAGGATCTTTCGGGGGGCTAGGAACCTAACTGTGGGGCTTGGTAGCCTCCTGCAGTTAAGCACATTTCCCTCTTACCTTTGTGGTTTGGGCCTTAGTTCACTGATTGTCCTTCCCAGCTTTCTATCTCAACAGCTGCCTCAGAGCCTGAAGGAGGGTGAGATGTTACTGACTGCTGGGGTTGCATTATCTCTTTTCCTCTGTAGGGTATGATTTAAGGCAACAAGAGTCTTTCCACCTTCCCAGAGTCTGTTTTCTAAGGACTCAGTGCTTCTTGATCTCTTACCCACTGGCCATGAGATTCTTCTGATTTTCTCTGTGGAAAAAATCTGACGTTTTAATTATGTTTCCTTATGAAGCACAAATCCCAGAGTAAATGCTACAAAGCTAGAGGACATTGCTGCAGATGATCCCATACTCTTCTAGGGCTGTGCTGGCCAGATAGGTCCAGGCCAGGGGAGGGATTGGACTGAAGAAGCCTTCAGTTTTTTCCAGGGGCTGATGGTTCCCTTCCTTTTGCAGAGATCCTGGACTTTGGCTATCCACAGAATTCAGAGACAGGAGCACTGAAAACCTTCATCACTCAGCAGGGTATCAAGAGCCAGGTACTCGGTGGGACAGCCACAGCAAGGGTGGGGCCCATCCTCCTTGAGCCCCCTGAGCCTTGTCCCAGCTGACTCAAGAGCCCGGCTTTGACAGGAAGTGCTGGCCTGAGCCCTCTACCGTGATTGCGGGCCTATTTTGCTGTATGTGGCCTTCCACCCTCGGAGCAGCTGACTCAGCATCTCTGTTAGTGGGAATACAATTCAAGCAGTTTCCTTCTGCACTGGGGGAAGGAAGGGTGTGGGCTGCCCTGGAGGCCTGGTGTTCCTCAGGAGGAGAGAGCGTGCGCCCTCCTCTAGGATCCAGGCCTTATAGCTGCCTTCTTCTTTTCTGCCTGCTGCTTCCCGTCTGTGCTCCCCTCCTGCTTCCTGTGGGCATCACATTGGCCCTTTGGCCTCCAGCATCAGGTAAGCTGTTCCCTCAGCTTCCACCTTTACAGCTTTGCTCCAGTTTTCTTCAGGCCCTGCCGCATGGAGCTCATGGGGAGGATGAATTACAGGGTGGGGACTAAAAGGGAGGGGGAATGAGACTGGAGTGGGGATAGAGACAGGATCATTGAAGGTGGAAAGGAATGAGGCCATTAGTGTTTTTCTCTGTCCCCCCATGTAGACAAAAGAAGAGCAATCCCAGATCACCAGCCAGGTGACCGGGCAGATTGGCTGGCGGCGGGAGGGCATCAAGTATCGCCGGAATGAGCTCTTCTTGGATGTGCTGGAGAGTGTGAACCTCCTCATGTCCCCCCAGGGTGAGAGCCCTCTCATGATGAAGCTAGAGGGGCAGGATCAGGGCAGGATTCTCGTCCTAACTCAGATGTTCCCATGTATCTGTCTATCACCAGGGCAGGTGCTGAGCGCCCATGTGTCAGGCCGGGTGGTGATGAAGAGCTACCTGAGTGGCATGCCTGAGTGCAAGTTTGGGATGAATGACAAGATTGTCATTGAGAAGCAAGGCAAAGGCACAGCTGATGAAACAAGCAAGAGGTGCCTGAGCAGGGTTGCTGGTGGGAGAGGGTGGACCTTGGAGGGCTGAGCAGGGCTTGGTCTATCACAGGTTCCTTCAAGATTATCATTTCTGCAGTAATGCAGACTCCCTCTTTCCGAGGGTGTGCTTGCCTGGTTGCCAGCTTTCTCCATTCTGGTAGCTTTCCATAGTCTGTAGCGCAGACCTCACCCAGGATGTGGCAGCCTTTGGGGGTGGGACAGCCTCCCAGCCAACTCTCTCCTGCCACACTCCTGTACCAACGAGGAGACCTTCTGCCCCTGCTCGCAGTGGGAAGCAATCAATTGCCATCGATGACTGCACCTTCCACCAGTGTGTGCGACTCAGCAAGTTTGACTCTGAACGCAGCATCAGCTTCATCCCACCAGATGGAGAGTTTGAGCTAATGAGGTGCCATTGGGTGTGAGGAGGCAGGGGTGCTGCTGGCCAAGAGAGATGGGGGAGAGGGAGGAGGACAGGCTCCTGTGCCAACCTTGCTCCCCACCCCTAAAGGTATCGTACCACCAAGGACATCATCCTTCCTTTCCGGGTGATCCCACTAGTGCGAGAAGTGGGACGCACCAAGCTGGAGGTTAAGGTGGTCATCAAGTCCAATTTCAAGCCCTCATTACTGGCTCAGAAGATTGAGGTGAGAACAGGGAACTTGGGGAGGAGGAAGCACTGTCTCCAGGTACAAAAGCAGCTGATGTCAGGGCTTGACAGAGCGCCTTGACAGGTGTATCACTTCTAGGTGAGGATCCCAACCCCACTGAACACAAGCGGGGTACAGGTGATCTGCATGAAGGGGAAGGCCAAGTACAAGGCCAGCGAGAACGCCATCGTGTGGAAGTGAGTCTCCTTCACGAGGCCACTGCAGGGCTCAAGATGCTTTGGTGTACCCTCTTTGAAGTTTTACCTTCATTGTCTTGAGAGAGAGAATGTGTGTGTGTGTTGTGGGTGGGGGGAGGGTGCTTGTCTTTTTCTCCAGGAATCTCTGCTTGTGCTCTCACTCCTATACCTCTGAGTGTGCACATGCCTGTACTTGGGTGCGTGCATGCATTTATTTATCTATCGAAATGTTTCCATGTTTTTCCCTGTTTGCCCTTGTAATATTTCTGTGAAATAGAGAGCAGGGGATAGCATGCCTGTGTATCTAAGCTGAAACTGCAGCCAACAGTGCTAAAGGAATAGCATACCCAAGGTTCCATAGCAAGTGGTTATCAGGTTCTTCCCCATACTTTTTGTCCTGGCACCTCCCCCAAGCTCTTCAGTTCCCTTCCCCCGACCCCTCCAAAAAGGCACCCTCCACCTTAAAACTCCTCCAAGCTAGCAGGGGCACTTCCTGCTTATTGCCCTTCTGTTCCCAGGATCAAGCGTATGGCAGGCATGAAGGAATCGCAGATCAGCGCAGAGATTGAACTTCTGCCCACCAATGACAAGAAGAAATGGGCTCGACCCCCCATTTCCATGAACTTTGAGGTATGGCAAAGGAGGGGCCTAGAGCCATGGAAGGGTGTGCTAAGAAAGATCTTAGGATTGTTCAGGTCAACTTCTGTACATTACTACCTGCATATGAGACCTAGAGAGGGGAAGTGACTTTTAATTCGTAGACCCATTCCTTCCCCCTTCAGGCCTCTTACTAGAAATTGCTGTTCACACTGACAAAAACCTTTGACTTCTAAAGCTGTCATAAAACAGTTTTTTGGAAAAATTTAGATTGCTTGAATGCCAAATAAGACATAAAGTTTATTTACAGACAGGAGAATGGGCTGACTTTGTTTTGTGCATGCTAGGCATATAATTTTCTCCACCTTATTTTTTAAGCCCATAATATTGAGCAGGATAAGTGTGTTCTACAGTGGGTCTTTGGTTGTTGCCTGCTGCTGATTAAAGGAATTGATTCAGGTTATCACAGGCAAGGTCTGACTTCAAACCCAAGTGATTATTAGTTACTCTTGGATATGCTCTCTTCTCTAGTAACCTCTTAAGAAGACTCTTCTTAAGCTTCCCCCAGCTTCTTTCAGGACCCCAAGCATTCAAACACCTGTAGTAGAGAGAGATGAAGTAGGTCAGGGCTACAGAACTTCCCAGAGGAGAGCAGCTGTGAGAGGAAGACCACATTCCTAACTGGAGCTGTCCTTTGCCCAGGTGCCATTCGCACCCTCTGGCCTCAAGGTGCGCTACTTGAAGGTGTTTGAACCGAAGCTGAACTACAGCGACCATGATGTCATCAAATGGGTGCGCTATATTGGCCGCAGCGGCATTTATGAGACCCGCTGCTAGCTGCCTAGTAGCAGCTAGCCTGTCTCCCTACCCGCCCTTTTCCACAGGTCTGGGTGCCCTGGGCCACCACACTTCAGTGTCTCCTCCCTCCTGCTTTGCTGCCTTCCCTTTGCACCAGCCCCTGAGTCTAGGTCTGGACCAACCACATTGCGAGCGGGACTGGTGGAGCAGTCCCTGGGCTCCCTGGGCAGGGTGGTTTCTGGGACTCCTACTCCACCATCCATCTGTCTGCCCTGGCCCAATGCCAGGCTCTGTATTCTGTGACCAAAGCCAGCTGGGCTCCCTCTCCTCCCCTCCCCTGTGGCCACATCTCTCTGGAGTGGGAGGGTTGGCTGCCCCTCACCTCGGAGCTCCCCCAAAGGCCAGTAACGGATCCCCAGCCCTCAATCCCTACTCTGCTTTGGGATAGTGTGAGCTTCATTTTGTACACGTGTGACTTTGTCCAGTTATAAACCCAATAAACCCTGTAGAACGGAGTTGCTAAGTGTTAATGCGGGAGCTCGATGGGGAGGGGGACTGTTGGGATTGCTCTTCCCAAATCTCACGCTGCCTGCTATGAGTAGAATTTTACATTCTGAACTCTCTTAAGACTCTTGTCTTGTGTCGATTGTTAGGCCCTTCAAAAGTATCCAAGCCCTTATCCTGACTGGTGTTACCCCAGGTCTCCTGTCTCCCCAAAACACAACCTCAAGGGCAAGCAGCTCCACCTGGTCCCAGTCCCCTGAGGGTAGAGCTTCTTTCCCTAATTCACTTTCAGCTTTAGGCAGGTATTTTGTAATTAGCAAAGATTAAGCAAGTTTTACATTTGGATTTTCCCACCATCCTGAGAAACTGACATCTCAGTTCTGTCCTCTTCCCAATTACCCAGGCTTTCCAAACATTGGTGAGTGGATGATAAAAGGGATTCTCTTTTCTGTAACTTCCTCTCTCCAAAGAATCTTGTGATGAGCTTGTCCTTAAGGGGACTATTCCATACCCTGCTGGTGTGTTGGAGCAGATAAAAGCATATTTGTCCTCGCCATCTTTTCCTTGTTTGGCTTCAGCCGTTTTAAACGTAGAAAATCTATTAGAGAAAATTTCAAATATAAACAGAAGTATCGAGATATAATGAACTTTCGTGTCCTGTCATTCAACTTTAACAATTATCAACTCATGGCCAGTTCCTTAGTATCTCATGATTTGTGTTCACACATAATCCAAAAGTCCTGTGGAATTTTTTACAACTTGTGTCTGGATCTAAACAAGGTCCATTGTGGTCAGTGAATGCTATTTATCTATTTATTTGAGAGGGGGCAGGGGAGGGGGAAAGGGGCAGAAGGAGAGGGAGAGAATCGTAATTAGGCTCCTCACCCAGCATAGAGCGCAATGCAGGACTCAATCTCATAACCCTGAGATCACCACCTGAGATGAAATCAAGAGTCCAGTACTTAACCAACTGAGCCACCCAGGCGCCCCTCACTTTTTAAATCCTATAAACCATAGGTTCTCTCTCGGCTCTTGGAATGTTGTTGAAGAAGCCATCGTTTGTAGTTTCCCCATCAGTTCCTCTTCCAGGGGCACCTGGGTGCCTCAGTCGTTAAGCGTCTGCCTTTGGCTCAGGTCATGATCCCAGGGTCCTGAGATGGAGCCCCACATCGCATCGGGTCCCTGGTCGTCGGGAAGCCTGCTTCTCCCTCTCCCACTCCCCCTGCTTGTGTTCCCTCTCTCTCTCTCTCTCTCTCTCTCTGTCAAATAAATAAATCTTAAAAAACCTTCCGGGGCGCCTGGGTGGCTCAGTCGTTAAGCGTCTGCCTTCAGCTCAGGTCATGATTCCAGGGTCCTGGGATCGAGCCCCGCATCGGGCTCCCTGCTCTGCAGGAGGCCTGCTTCTCCCTCTCCCACTCACCCTGCTTGTGTTCCTTCTCTCGCTGTCTCTCTGTCAAATAAATATTAAAAAAAAAAATTCCTCTTCCATCTGTTGCCTATGAAGTGGTTGTTAGATTTAGTAGCTTAACTTTTTAAACTTTTTTTTAAAAAAGTTTTAAGTAATTTCTACACCCAAGGTGGGGCCAAACTCGGGACCCAAGAGTTGCATGCTCCTCTGACTGAGCCAGTCAGGTGCCCCAGGATTTTTAAACTTTAAGAAGTTGGATTGATCTTTCTAGATGGCAAAAGGATAATGGATCTTAGGTGAAAATCTTAAGGTTGGAAGAATATTCATGTTAAATGTATAGCAGTAGCATCATTTGGGGAAAATTCCTAACTTCTAGAGGGAATTAGTGAAAGTAGCTTTATACACTCATTTACTGAGCTTCCTGGTGCAGAGAAGCCTGTTTTGGGTGTGTAGGTAAGGAATAAATACCGATGAATTTGCACTGGCCGATCTCGTTTTCTTGCCCTTTGGCGGTAAGTGAGCTTGTGCCTTGGGGTGATGTTAGGACTGAGTGAGTACAATTTGCTGAAGTCTGCTGACCTGTCAGAGGTGAGAGAACTGAGGCTGGCCGCCCGGCTAATACAAAAAGCCCATACGCCTTGGGGACCAGAACAAAACCCGTGGGCCGCCCAGAACTGCAGGAAGCTTCTGAGGCCAGGGACTGACCATGAGTCAGCAGAGCTCTCGGTGGCCTCTAAAATGGACCCGGCCGGGCGCGCTGACACAGGCGCGCCTCAAGGAAACGCAGGGATCTAGCGAGTCCCGTGTGCTTTATCAACCGCCTGTCTCTTGGGAGGTTCCCACTCGCGGGACCACGGGTATCTCGTGCCCTGATAAACCGCGAGCACCCCTGCACCCCGCCGCCGCCGCCTTTCGGAGCTCCACCTCCCAGAAGGCAGCGAGAACCGCACATGTGGCTAGTTTTTCAGCGGAAACAGCGTTGCGCAAGCGCGGAGAGAGCAGCTGGAGCGTAGGCTCTGAGCGGCGCTTGCGCACGGTTCCTCCAGCCCCGTTCACCCGGTCCACCGGGTTCCGGGAACTCCGCGCCTTTCTTACATCACCACTACGCATGCGCCTTGGAAGGAGGGGCGAGCTTTTGGGAGACCGGCAGGAGGCGCGTCTTGGCTGCCGTCTAACGGCGCCTGCGCGGACGGGAGCCCGACTGGAACATGGCGACTTGCGCTGAAATCCTGCGGAGCGAGTTCCCCGAAATTGACGGACAGGTCTTCGACTACGTGACGGGTGAGCGGAACCGAATCTGCGCTCTGGGGAGGCCAAAATGGAAGTCATTGGGAGAAAGACTAAGGGAGGGCAGTGCCGGGACCGCTGCTAGGCCTCTCCTCTGCGTGACCTCTTGTCCCGAGGGCAGGTTAGGTCTGGAGCCCGGAGTGGGGCAGTGTTTCGGGGACTAAAACGGCTTGTATGTCTACCCTACCCGGTATCTTCCTCGACCTGCCACGCCCGGCCCAGGCGTCTTGCACAGCGGCAGCGCGGACTTCGAGTCTGTGGATGACCTGGTGGAAGCGGTGGGGGAACTGTTGCAGGAGGTGTCCGGGGACAGCAAGGATGACGCGGGCATCAGGGCTGTGTGCCAGCGCATGTACAACACTCTGCGCCTGTACGTGCCAGGGTAGGGGGATTCGTGGGGACGATGGGAGGGCGGACGGTAAGGAGACAAGACGTAAGGGAAGAAGGTCTGATGGCTGTAGAGCTTTCTATTCAATTCCTAACTCTGCGCTTTCTGTTCCTACCCTAAAGGGATGAGCCACCGACCCAGGGAAACAGCCAGGTGCTACTAGACACCCCCATCCAGTTGTCAAAGATAACAGAAAACTACGGTGAGAGTGAGGGAAGATTGAACTAGCTGCTCTCTGCCCTTGTCTCAGCCTCCACCCCCCACCCAGCGGGCCTTCCCCTGGAGGCCAGGACTCCTGGTACCCCTTTTCAACAGAACAAGGATGTAGAAGCTAGTTGATGTCTTTACTGAGGGCAAAAGAGGCCATTGTTGAAGGGAGTAGGGTTGGAGAGTTTTCCAAGCTCTTAGGTAGGGTAGGAAGCTTATGGGCCTTGGGGCTGGACAGACTTAGGTTTACTTGTACGTTTTGTGACTTTCTAATCAACTGCACGAGCTTGTAGGAGTTGCTTATCTGCCTCAGTCTCTATTCTTAATCTGGGAAGTGTTTTTTGTTTTTGTTTTTGGTTGAAATATGGGGAGGATGATAGCTATTTCTGGGATTGTAAGGCTTTCCTTTAAATGTCTGTGTCTGTGTCTGGTTCATACTAGTTACTCAAAATGTTAGTTTCCCTTCCCTCAGGGAGAAGGTGACTGCTTTTCTTATCGCTTACAGACTGTGGCACCAAACTTCCAGGACTGCTAAAGAGGGAACAGTCCTCGGTGAGGAGGAGGAAGAAAGGGAGGGGTCTGTGTCTGTGGTCGGGGTGGAAGTTGACCATCTTTAAATATTGGAGGATTTTTCCCGGGGTTTCTGATTATGTCTTTTGCTGAAAGCAGGGTAACTTAAGATGTTCTTTCTGGGGCTCCTTTCTGAGCCTACAACCTAGGCTGAAATGGTTGTGTTTGGACCTTTAGACAGTGAATGCAAAGAAGCTAGAGAAGGCTGAGGCTCGACTGAAGGCAAAGCAGGAGAAGCGCTCAGAGAAGGACACACTCAAGACCAGCACTCCTCTGTGAGTTTAGCAAGAAGGGCTGAGAAGAGAATAGAGCAGTCTCTATTGGGATGGAAGGGTGGCCGGGAATGCTAAAAGCCATTCATTTCTCCCTTTGAAAGGGTCTTGGAAGAGGCATCAGCCAGCCAGGCAGGCAGCAGAAAGGAGAGTCGGTTGGAATCATCTGGCAAGAACAAATCATATGATGTGCGAATTGAGAACTTTGATGTGTCTTTTGGCGATAGGTGAGGGAGTGGCAGTGGGGAGGGGTTACGTTTTTCTTTTTCCAATTAAAGGAGAATTGGGATAGATGAAATGGGGCTTAAAATAACATTAGGTTTTTTGTGGTTAAATTTGCTGTATACCTGTCTCTAGAGCAGCACCCTTTGTCTTCTTCCTACTACCCCTGCAGGGTACTACTGGCTGGAGCAGATGTGAACCTGGCGTGGGGCCGCCGCTACGGGCTAGTGGGTCGAAATGGGCTGGGGAAGACGACACTCCTGAAGATGTTGGCCACTCGGAGCCTGCGAGTTCCAGCTCACATTTCCCTGCTGCACGTGGAGCAGGAGGTGGCTGGAGATGACACCCCTGCCCTACAGAGTGTGCTAGAGAGTGACACCGTGAGAGAGGACCTTCTGCAGAGGGAGCGGGAGCTCAGTGCCCAGATTGCCACTGGCAGGTAAGGGCTCCAGATGGGGAATAACCAGCAGCCACGGTTCTTCAGAGAGTGCCTGTCATACTGCCACAATCCATAACTTGCACGCTCATCCTAGTAAGCAGCAGAGCTTAGAACCTGGCACTGTGGAGCTGTAAAGCCCTGTTCCTTCCACAGTGCCCACTGCCCTCCCTGACTTGAGCAGGTGCTTCCTGTAGTCCATTCCTGTCCTGGCAACAAGGCAGTCAGTGGCCTGCTCTCCAACTGCATAGAGTCCAGGGCATTCCCCCTAGACTGCCCCCAGTCAGGCTGAGCACTCTTCCTCCATTCCCACTCCAGGGCTGAGGGCTCAGAAGCTGCACAGTTGGCGGAAATATATGCCAAACTGGAGGAGATTGAGGCTGACAAGGCACCTGCCAGGTATTTAAAATTCCCCTTCCCTCCTTCAGATTTCACCTTTCCTTTCTGTTACCTGTTTCAACGAAGTTCTTCCATTTCTTCACTTCTAGGGCATCAGTCATTCTTGCTGGGCTTGGCTTTACCCCTAAAATGCAGCAGCAGCCCACCCGGTGAGTGGCCCTTGCCATTCTTGGCTGTGAACACTGTTGGCTCTGTCTCTGCCTGTTCTGGTGAACACCTACCCCGATGTGATCTCTGTTTCTTTAGGGAGTTCTCAGGTGGCTGGAGGATGAGGCTGGCCCTGGCCCGGGCTCTGTTTGCTAGGTGAGTCTCCTGGGCCTGTGTATGGATACTGTGGAGGATGGGCCTTGGCTCGTGGGAGGTCATGAGCTGCTGACCTAAAACCTCAAGGCTTACATTCTTCTTTTCTATAGGCCAGATCTTCTGCTGCTAGATGGTGAGTTTGAAAAGGGGCACCCTGACTTTGGGGTGGGGAAGGATGGCAACATCCAGGTTCTATAGCACTTCAATCCCAAATGTATCCTCCCCCACTTTTCCAGAACCCACAAACATGCTGGATGTAAGGGCCATCCTGTGGCTGGAGAATTACCTGCAAGTGAGTGCCTATAGGTGTTAGAGTAGGTCTGGGAAGGTCTGCCTCTAAGACACCTGGGGGGCTGGAAACTGACTGCTCTCCCTAACTGAGCCTGCCATCCTGTGACCCCTCAGACGTGGCCTTCTACAATCCTCGTTGTCTCCCACGACCGCAACTTTCTGAATGCCATAGCCACAGACATCATCCACCTGCACAGCCAGCGACTAGATGGCTACCGGGGAGACTTTGAGACCTTCATCAAAAGCAAGCAGGAGCGGCTGCTCAACCAGCAGCGGGAATATGAGGCACAGCAGCAGTACCGCCAGCATATCCAGGTATGGGGACAGGCTGGGGGCCCCGCCCTGTGGGTATCAGAGTTTGCCGGAGTGAGGGAACCTGACCAGTGCCTACACTCATCCACCCACAGGTTTTCATTGACCGATTTCGCTACAATGCCAACAGAGCCTCTCAAGTGCAGAGTAAACTTAAGATGCTGGAGAAGCTGTGAGTACAGTGCCCTTGACCGGGCCCTGACTCCTAGTCTCTTAATTTCTTCCCTCACTTTGTGGGCCACCCTTTACCCTCCCATTCTAGATCTCCCCTTTTCTAGAAACCAGCTTTAATTTCCTCTCCAACAGGAAAGCAGAGCATTTTACACTGCCATTAGTCTTGCTCCCCACAGGCCTATGCAACCACTAATTTACTTTCTCTAATCTGTTTGCTTATTCTGGACATTTCATATAAGTGGGCCTGTCTTATTTCACCTAGCATAATGTTTTTGAAGTTCTTTCCTGCTGTAGCACATATTGGTACTTCCTTTTTATGGTCAGATAGTATTTCATTGTAAGGACTTACAGAATTTTGTCCATTGCTTCATCAGTCAAGAGATATCGGAAGTTTCCTCTTTTTTAGCTCTTACGAATAACAGTGCTATGAACATTTGTGTACAAGTTTTCGTATGGACATATGTTTTCTGTTCTCTGGGGTGTATACCTCGGAGTGGAATTGCTGGGTTACAAGATAATTAATTCTATGTTTAACATTTTGAGGAACTGACAAACTGTTCTCTAAAGCAGCCGTACAGTTTTATATTTCTACCAGCAATGTTCGAGGGTTCCAATTTCTCCGCATCCTTGCCAACACTTACTATCTTTCTTTTTAATTTTAGCCAGTCTAGTGGGCGTGAGTGATATTTCACGGTGGTTTTGATTTGCGTTTCTTTAATGATTAATGATGTTGAACATTGGGGGCTTAATCTTAAAGCAACCTTCCTAGAGGTGCTGGTTGGGGGAGGGCAAGGAGGGGAACCTAAAATCAAAGGCTTAGGTTTTTGTGATATTGAAATATTTATCACGGTATCTTTTTTTAAAGATTTTATTTATTTATTTGAGAGATAGAGAGCACAAGAAGGAAGAGGGTCAGAGGGAGAAGCAGACTCCCCGCTGAGCCGGGAGCCCGATGTGGGACTCGATCCCGGGACTCCAGGATCATGACCTGAGCCGAAGGCAGTCACTTAACCAACTGAGCCACCCAGGCGCCCTTTATCACGGTATTTTAACTGGTAGACCAAAAACCTACAAAAAGGATAAACCCTATTTTTTCAGCATATAGTGAACTAGAAGAAGGTACTCTAAAATAAGAATGTAGTTTGGATGGTGGGAGTACAAGCTTTCTCTAAGTTTTCTCTGAATATATATTACTTGTATAATAAGAACAAATAAAGTTAGTTTTAAAGCCATAAATTTAGGGGCGCCTGGGGGGCTCAGTCTTTAAGCGTCTGCCTTCGGCTCAGGTCATGGTCCCAGGGCCCTGGGATCGAGCCCCGCATCTGGGTCCCTGCTCGGCGGGAAGCCTGCTTCTCCCTCTCCCTCTGCTGCTCCCCCTGCTTGTGTTCCCTCTCTTGTCTCTCTATCAAATAAATAAATAAAATCTTTAAAAATAATAAATAAAGCCATAAATTTAGTCTGTGCGCTCTCTCCTCAGACCAGAGCTGAAACCTGTGGACAAGGAGCTGGAGGTGGTGATGAAGTGAGTGCTGGGCCAAGAGGCTGGTGGGGAGCTCGTGTTTCTGGCTGCTTCCATGTTCCTCACCACCACCTCCTGCAGGTTCCCTGATGGATTTGAGAAGTTCTCACCACCAGTTCTGCAACTAGATGAGGTGGATTTCTACTATGATCCTAAGCACGTCATCTTCAGCCGTCTCTCCGTCTCTGCTGATCTCGAGTCCCGCATTTGTGTGGTATGGTTGCTGTTTCTCTGTTTCGTGAGCTGGGATTCTCCTATCCCAGCATGTGGGGGGGCTTGGCCCAGATCCCCCAGCTGCAAAGGGAAGTGGTATGCAGGAGCAGGAGTTGGCCTGGGCCAAGGACTTTGCTCTACTTCCCTGCAGAGATAGAAAACCTGTTTGGTGGTATTTTATGAATATGTAGAGCAAGACTTTTATCTTCCTAGTCTCAGGTCTTGAGTTTTCTCAAACCACGGAATAGGGAGAAATCAGGGTCAGATTTCGGGTCTTGACTCTGCCGATTGCTAGCTCGGTTACTAAGTGGAGATAGCAGCTACCACTCGGTTACTGGGAGGATTCGGTCCCCTGTACTTAGTAGGTATTTAGCTCTCAATTCCCTTTACATTTTTACTAGTTCCTTCGTTTTTCTGTCTAGTTTCTTAATATTTTTTTTAGTTGTTGTGAAGGAGTCACTGGCCAGAGCCAGTTCTCCTCTCGTCTGCTTCTGTGTTCTGCGCATGTCCGCTCTGCAGCATTCTCATGGTTCTTTGGGCAGGTTGGGGAGAATGGGGCTGGGAAGTCGACCATGCTGAAGCTGCTTATGGGGGACCTGGCACCTGTTCGGGGCATCAGACATGCTCACAGGTAAAGCCCCCGGTCCCCAACGACTGTGTAGCTACACTCCTCTATGGGCATCGCCTCCCACCCCATCTTTCCCTCTCTCTTTCTGCCTGTAGGAATCTGAAGATCGGCTACTTCAGCCAGCACCACGTGGAGCAGCTGGACCTGAGTGTCAGTGCTGTGGAACTGCTGGCCCGCAAGTTTCCCGGTACCGTAGGGATTTGGGTCGAGAAAAGAGGTGACCCTTACAGCTAGGCCTACCTTGGGGTGGGGTGCTGAGCAGCGAGCCCTGAGTCTAGGGTTAAGGACATGGGCACTTGGAGGTAAGGCTGAGGGGAGGGTGAAGGGAGGGAATCGGGTCGAGAACCCACTTGATGGGGTGAGGCCTGTTTCAGGGCGGCCTGAGGAGGAGTATCGTCACCAGCTGGGCCGGTATGGCGTCTCTGGAGAACTGGCCGTGCGCCCTGTTGCCAGCTTGTCTGGAGGCCAGAAGAGCCGGGTAGCCTTTGCTCAGATGACCATGCCCTGGTGAGTTCTTGCCTTCTCCTCTCCCCATCTTGCCTAGTAGGAAATGTTTGTCTTGTCTTCGTATCAGGGGAGTTCATTTTCTCCCAACCCCCATAACTGCCTGCCTCCCTGGGTATTGCCTTCCAGTCCCAACTTCTACATTCTGGATGAACCCACAAACCACCTGGATATGGAGACGATTGAGGCTCTGGGCCGTGCTCTCAACAATTTCAGGGTGAGTGTGCCTTCAGGTTGCCCACTCTTCCCCAAGCCTCAGCACCCCTGAGGGCCCCCCCTGCCCCAAGTGCCTCCTGGTCTCCTCTCTTTCAGGGCGGTGTGATTTTGGTGTCCCATGATGAGCGCTTCATCCGGTTGGTGTGCCGGGAGTTGTGGGTGTGCGAAGGCGGCGGCGTCACCCGGGTCGAGGGGGGGTTTGACCAGTACCGCGCCCTTCTCCAGGAACAGTTCCGCCGTGAGGGCTTCCTCTAGGGCCACAGCCTGAGGACTGTGCCCAGGACGTGGACTGGTCTCTCAGACCCCTGGGCCACCATGTAGGCAACCATCTCCAGGCCACGGACTTCCCCCGACTTTGGGGACAGCCTTATCTCCAAATCTCCTTTTGACTGGAGCATCCTCTGCACAACCCAGGGAGCCCCATCTAAGTGTCTGTGAGGACTGGTCTTCAAGGGAAGGGGTGGGAGGTGCCCTCTGGCTATAGATCCCCCCACTGTCCTGGCTCTGACTGGGCCCCAAGTGGCTGCTGTGTAAATTAAATCTCCCCCTGCATCTCCCTGGCCTCCTCTCTGCTGCTCCCTGGCAGGACTGTAGTACTTGTCCACTGTTAGGGGGTGTGGGCTCTGTGGTTTGGGGTTTTTGTAACACTTTTATCAGTCATGCAGATGAAGCCATGGCAGAACGAGTCTCTGGAAGGAGACGTCATTAAAGCCACTGGGGCTCAGAGGTCACCTGCCTGACTTCAGGTGGGCCGAAGGGCAGCGTAGTACATCACTGGGGTGCTGTTCCCCATAGCCCAGGCTCAGCCTTAGCTGAAGGGGGCTTGGGCTCTGCTGCCTCAACCCCACTGCTTGTGGGAATGAACTGATGCTGTAAGCTGGTCTCCAACATGGTTTGTCAACAGCTTAGTCCAGTGGTCTCTGACTTAGGCTCACCCTGCTTCTCTGAGCTAGACCCTCAGATGGAGCTGAAGAGAAACCAAGAAACTATCTTTGTCCCCATTTTGCTTGGGTGGTTTCATGTTCTTTATGTTCCCTCGGGCCACATAGGTAGGGGCCTGGGAAGTAGGGAATTGAGAATGGGGTCGAGTGGGAAGAAGCACTTTGTTTTCAAATGAAGCAATCTCGGAGAGGAGATGTTTAACAGAGGTTGTATGGCTTATAAAATTGTTTCTTGAGGACTCCGCTGCTATATGTAATTGTTAGGAGCCACTAAAATAGGAACCTTGCGTTCCTGAAAGATAACGGAGAAACCAGAGTCCGCAGAAGGAACTGGCTGGCCTCATGGCGAATTGTAGTCACAGAGCTCAACCTAGGATTCTTGGCCCCTGCGGCTATCGTGGTGTGTAGGTAGCTGGGGGAAAGAACCTGTTTGGGAGGAGAGGAGAATAAAGACAGGAAGGCTCTGTTAAGTACAGAGCAGGCGCTGATGGACGCAGGAAGCTGGCCAAAGGGTCATTCGTCAGCCAGCCTCCTCATCCTCCCTCCCCCTCCCATGTCTGTGGCCATGCGCACCCTCAGAGTCCTGAGAGTCTTCTCACAGCCCCCACCAGACTCCCAACCTCAGGCCTGCAGGTGGGCCAGTTGGGGGCCATCTGGGGTGGGCTCCGTGCCTGCCTGTTGGCCAGGCTCTCAGCCCTTTCACCCCTCAGTAACTTGTGAATCCCTGTAGGAGTCTTCAACTCCTCAGTCAGTAGGAATGCAGTGGAAGGGTTCTGTGACACAGAGTCTGCTTCTTTGGAGGTGGCTTTGTGTACAGAGAGCACAGGCGTTGGAGCTGGGCCTGAGATCAAGTCCCAGCAACATCACTAGTCATAGAGGGAACCACCAGCATTAGCTGTGTAACCACAGCAAATCGCTGAACCTTTTTGAACACCTGCCTCCTTGGTTTTTCTTTATAGGATTGTTGTGAGGATTAGCTGGCAAGCACATAACACATAAGCACTCAGAAAATGATTCTTGGGCTACCAGTCTATGATTTGAAGACTATTATTTGAGAAAAGAGGTAAATTTTCTCTTGAATGACTCCAGAGGTAGACCAGTTTGGGCTCAAAGAAAGGAAAACTTTTTAAATAGCTCAGGCTGCTTTCTGAGAGTGAGTTCCCCATCTCAGACTGTTCAGCCCTGCCAGGCTCTGGAGAAGGGTGCTCTTGTAAGAGGAGCACTAGATAGCCTCCGGGTTGGCTTCCAATTTTATGATTCCATGAAAGAAACATGAAGAGCTTTTATATAAGACAATATAAGCCTATGCTGCAATACTTCAGAAAGGTAGGACGAATGAATTGCAGGAGCTGAGAAAGACCCTAGAGTAAGTGTAAAGTGAACTTCTGAAAATTAGGGAAGGGGAGTCAGCAGAAGATGGTTGTCTTGAGGGATGGAAAATGTGGGCAAAGTCACCCAGCTCCATCCTAGAGAGCACAGGGCAGGGAGGAGAGAGGAAGGTGACACAGAAGACTGCCTCGGATCATTCCAGGTAGCCCATCATGGCAGCCACCCCTTTCATGCTGTGGAGACCCTATCTAACCCCAACCATTGGGAAGCTGATCCTTCCACAGCTGCTGGTGCTGGAGCTGCCCTGCCCACATGAGGTCTTTAAACCAGTCCCAAGCTGGTGGGGTTGAAAGGCCTCAGTCTGCAGGCTCTTCATTGAAATCCTGGCCTCCCTGCTTCTGCTGGCCTTCCCACACTCACCAATGCCTTCTCAGACAACCTGGCCGGTTCCCAGTGGACCGGGGTGCGATGGGTCTCTGTACCAATCTGCATGCCGTTCAGAGATGCCAGTCACAGAATTATTTATTCCAGTGTGATCTGAACTGTCTTGAGATTTGCTCGATGTAGACATTCTACTAAGCTCTCACTTGCTTCCAGGTAAATTTTAGCACAGAATAGGAGAGAAGGTGCCTTTTATCCTGTCTGGCCATGCCGCGGCCAGATCTGTCATTTTGGGACAGAACATCCTGCTAGGAGCTCCTCCCCAGGCCTGGTTGGGCCCACCCACAGATACAAGCCAAACAACTCCCTGCTAGTGTCAGAGCACCAGGGCTGTGCGTCAGCCTGAGCGTGCAGACTGGATGACAGCCTCCAGGAGGTGCCAGGTGGACTGGCAGGAGGGTCATAACCCAGCTGCAGGGCTGGGGGTGGTTTTCAAACCTGGAGCAATGGACTCCACTTCAACCCCACACTCCTCTGGGTGGGTTTCCTGGCACTCTGTGCTGCCTCCATGACAAGCTGCATGTGGTTATTGTTAAGATCGTAGTTCCCAGGTTGCCTTGATATCCCTGAACGGCTTGCTCGTTTTTGCATCTTCTGTGCATCTTCCAAGCTCAATTAAAATGCTTGGTAAGTGAATATTTGGGGAACACTGGTGTGAGAAAAAGTAGAGAACGCTGGAGGAGGAGAGAGCAGAGGCAAGGAGACCAGCAGGGAGGCCATGACCAAAGTCCAGCCCTAAGGACATGGGGTCAGGACAATGGAGGCGGAGGTGAGACCAGGGAGGGTGGTGTGCAAACTCAGCAAGAGGTTTTGAGTTCTGCCCAAATGAGGGAGGGCTCCTTTTTCTGGGCCTGAGTCTTGAAATAAGTGAAATGAAATGAAAGCTTTGCGACACTAAGGTTAAAAAGAGATCCTTTTGAACCTCCCCTTGTTCCTTTCCACACAATGCTAAGGAAATACTAATGGTTGATATTTATTGGGGTCTTTTCTAACAGGTACCATTGTAAGTGCTTTACTTGCACTAAATCAGTCCTCACAACCCTAACAAACTGGCAGAGTTATTATCCCCATTTTACAGATAAGGAACCAGAGTTGACAGTGTATATCAGGGCTGGGATTCAGGCCAGGCTAGCTCTAGACCTCAGCTCTTAAGCTGCCACTTAGCTCCTGCTGTGACAGACTGAACGGTCCGGTTCGTAATTCCAACGCTTAAAACTCATCGTTCATTGCAAGGGGCAGGAGAGGGGTGAGGTTTGAACAAGCTTCTCTCAGGAGCACAAGCTGATGAGCGGGAGTACCTGGCACAGGGGCTGACGTGCTAGGTGCTCAGTGGATCGTTACGTGATCTGAAAACACTGCACAGCAAAGAGTCTCACGTGGGGTCCGTTAGCCCAGCTCTACCACAGAGGGCATCTTGGGCAAGTCAACCTCTCCTGAGTAAATTCTCCTTATCCATAAAATGGGCATAATGCAGGTTGTCCTGCCTGCTTCTTTGGGTAGTTGGATGGATTAATTGAAACAAGGTCTTGTACAAACAATAAATTTTTTCATAAACTGTAAAGCGCTGTGGATCCAAAGGGTATCATTTCATGGGAGAACTGATGTGGCAGCAGCCTAGAGTCTCCTCTGGAGACAAAGAATCAGACATGAGCACACACATGCTCAGGGCCATCATCAGGATGTCACCCCAGGAGGGCCACCCCACAGCCTTCCTTGTCTGCTGCGCCAGGCATCAGAAAGCATGTGTGCAGGAATGCAGCCTGAGACCGCCCAGCACCCACTGACTTGCATGGGGTTGGGCAGAAATCACCGTGTAATTTAAGCCCATTATAATATGTATACGTCATGCCCTGTCAGTAATTCTAGGTTTCTGTTTTCCTTATGTTAAATGGTGGTTTGGAAGTGATTCCTGCTTTACTGTATAGGGAGACCGTTGAAACCCTAAATTAGAGTACATGCGTGTCAACCGACACTACAGCATCCTTAGCCCTGAGGGATGCTTCCCAGATGTTCTCTCGGTCTTTTTTTTTTTTTTTTTAAGATTTATTTATTTGACAGAGAGAGACACAGCGAGAGAGGGAACACAAGCAGGGGGAGTGGGAGAGGGAGAAGCAGGCTTCCCGCTGAGCAGGGAGCCCGATGCGGGGCTCGATCCCAGGACCCTGGGATCATGACCTGAGCCGAAGGCAGACGCTTAATGACTGAGCCACCCAGGCGCTCTCTCTTTTGGTCTTGTCCTCCCACTAACCTTGCTTTAAATGGCTTTTGCTGAGTTATTCCCATTTTACAGAACAGGAGTGTGAAGCAGAAAGATGTAAAGTGTCTTGCTCAGGTCAGATACCTGTTTTCATGCAGAGCAGGGCTGAGAACCAAAGTGGGTTTCCAGCCTCGCCACATCTCTCCAGATCAGCTGTTCATAGCTTTGTTCCACTGCTCTTTGTACAATGGGTGACATTCTCCTGAGAATGCCCAGGGTCAGGAGCCCTTTTGTCCTCTTAGGGAAGCATTTGAACCTCGGATGAGGGTAAGTGACTGTGAGTCTGATTTGTTTTAACTTGTAAATTAGGGAGCTAGTCTAGAATCAGAACTGCATTTGAGTCTGGATTCTATCATTGAATGGCTATGTCACCTTGGCAAGTGAAGCTGCTCAGTGCCTCAGTTTTCTGATCTATAAAATGAGAACAGCAATGGTCCTTACACTATAGGTTTATTGTGAATATTAAATCAGATAATACAAGCAAAACTCTCATCATGGGCCCACTAGTTCCATAAATGTTAGCCATTATGATAATTAATATTTGTTGTGACTTTCACTGCTTTACTGATTTTTAGTGAGGTAATATTTATGATGCCCTGTGGCTAAAACCACTGTATTTAGTCGTGGTGCCTCGACCAAAATGACGGGTACCTACACCTCCAACTTTGTGTCCTTAGGCCTAGAAAGGACTCCTTTTTGGATTCCTCTCCCACTGCAAAGACTTTTCCTCCAGATTCTTCTACACATACACACACGTGCCCCCTCTAGTTCTTTCTGGATATTCTACACTCAATCTGTTCCATCACTCAATACTTTGTTCCAAGTTGGGAATTCTCCATCAGTAGAGGAGTCTAGGTTTTTCTTGACTGCTAGGGACCTTTGAGTATAGTCAAGTAAGAAGGTTCAGACCTTCTTACCCCCAAAGATTTCTTCCTCCTCTTCTTCCACAAACTCTATAGTCAGAACAGATGTATGGCACACCCAGGACTTGGAAGTAGAGTTATCTTAGAGTAAAATTTGTAAGAACCAATAAACAATGGTTGAGATGTGGAAGTCATTCAGGAGATTGTACATTGTGGTTTGGTGTCAGGGTTGGAAGAACATTTAAGAACTATGAGGTGAAGGAGGCACAATTAGCCAAGGAAGAATAAGTGATTGGAATCAAGAGTGCCAGGATCCTGGGAGCACCTGGGTGGCTCAGTTGTTAAGCGTTAAGCGTCTGCCTTCGGCTCAGGTCATGATCCCAGGGTCCTGGGATCGAGTCCCGCATCGGGCTCCTTGCTGGGCGGGATGCCTGCTTCTCCCTCTCCCACTCCCCCTGCTTGTGTTCCCTCTCTCGCTGTGTCTCTCTCTGGCAAATAAAAGTCCTAAAAAAAAAAAAAAAAAAAGAGTGCCAGGATCCTGCAATGGAGAAGACAAAGGATGAGAGACCAAGCATTTTCAGTGGGTCCCCAGACCTGCTGGGCAGAGGTAGACTCTACCTGGTGACTTGACCTTTTAGCAGATCTTGCTTGAGAGGCCCTGGATACCCTGGTCCATCAGAGCTTGACACCACAGGCCCCAGGCCTTCCCCACTAATTCCCCCAATCCATTCCAACCTCATCTGGGTTCCTTGGCTTGGGACTTGGCTTGTGTGGCCTTTCTCACCCAGAGAGGATGTACCGACCAGTGAAGTTGGATTTTCAGGTCTCCTGTCAGCTGCATTTCTAATGACACATTAATAAACTGACATCTGGTTTATATACCAGTCTCTTCTGAGACTGTGGCTTGAACTAATAATAACATACAGAGCACTATGTACCAAGCATTGTTCTAAGTGTTTTACATGAATTGACTAAATCTCACAACAAACCAGTGAGGTATGGGTTATCTTTATAAGTGAGAAAATGGAGGCCTAGAAAAAATTCAAAAAGCAAAAGAAAACTTGCTCAGGTCCAGCCAGCTCGTGAGACTCTGAGCTGGGCTCGTGCTGAGGTCACGGGGAGGCCAAAGCTCTAGCTCGCCCACTCTAGCACGGCAAGGCGCCTCGACCACGTTGATATTTAGTGCCTGAGGTGGTGAGGGGCAGCTCTGTGCTATGGTGACCTCAGCAAGTACTGGGGTCCGAGGAGGGCCACATCTGAGCAGTTTGCCAGCCCTCCTAGTGCATACTGCCATGTTTTAAAAGGTAATATGAAACAAACCTAATTTGTTAAATAATAATTTTCCCATTAATATGTAATCAAAAACATAATATGGTACTAATCACAGTTTCTGATCAGCCTTAAATAATCACAGTTGCCAACCCAAGTTAGTTAATTCTGGCCCCAAAAGAAAAGAAACACTTTTTTTTTAAAGATTTTATTTATTTGTCAGGGAGGAAGAGAGAGCACAGCATGGGGAGGGGCAGGCAGAGGGAGAAGCAGGCTTCCCACGGAGCAGGGAGCCCAATGTGGGGCTCGATCCCGGGACCCCGGGATCATGACCTGAGCCGAAGGCAGTCGCTTAACCAGCTGAGCCACCCAGGCATCACAAGAAGAAACACTTATTTAGCTTAGCCTCTCTTCAGGGATAATGTCTCTGCTCCTGTCTTACTGTCTTCTCAGAGCCCAGGCTGGGGTGTTAGTGCCCTGGGAAATGATGGACTGCTGCCTGAACTTTACAAGGCTTCCTCTCTGGATGCTGGCTACTTCACCTAGAACCATTTGGGCAAATGTATGTTGGGACTCTACACGTCAATGATATGCTTATGAACAGGACAGCCGGGAAGCTTTAGTCTGGGGTGTTTGGGTGTCCGAGGAAACAGCATTCCATCTGACTTGACATTTACCAGAGAGCTAAAATAAATAAATAAAAAAAATAAAATCTTAAAAAAAAAAAAAAGAGAGGGGCGCCTGGGTGGCTCAGTTGGTTAAGCAACTGCCTTCGGCTTGGGTCACGATCCTGGAGTCCCGGGATCGAGTCCCGCATCGGGCTCCCTGCTCAGCAGGGAGTCTGCTTTACCCTCTGACTCTCCCCCCTCTCATGCTCTCTCTCTTCCATTCTCTCTCTCTCAAATAAATAAATAAAAAAAATAAAATCTTACCAGAGAGCTAATCTTGAGGTTTAGCCTTCCCCTCTATAAAATGGGAATGCCAATCCCCTGTCCATGGGTTGATTTACTCAGTATTCTGACATGAGCACTGTCCAGAGGTGAAGCTCAGAGAGGCCCCCTCCCTTGACAACTGGAGGGTTCTTCACAGAACAACTTCTGCACGCCTTTGTGGGGTGTGTGCCATGCCGATTCTCTAGAGAGGGCCTGTCTGGGAGCAACTAGCTCAGGTCCAGACAGCCCCACTGAAAACAGCTGATGGAGGTAACCCCAGGGTGGCTCCCCCAGGAACTTGGAAATGAGGGTATAAGCTACCTTCTGAGAATCAAACTGAATGATCAGCTCCTAATGGACCAGAGAGAGAATATAGACTAGGTGGTCTAAACTTCCTAAAAGAGGGATGTATCAACCAACAGTGTCTATCCCAGCACCACCCAGAAGGGTGGCCTAGAGGCTGCTTCAAGTCCCAGAGCTCCTAATAGGAGACCCTTTCCTGTGAAAATGAACAGGTCAGGCCATCAGAGTCTGGTGCCATCAAAGTTCTAATCATGCTGGCACCCCCCCTTGTTTTGATTCTGTGTTCATGAAGTGATCCCTTGAGGATCTTGCTCCCCCAAGCTGGCCTATTAGGGAAGATGTGGCCAAAGCCTGAGCCCAGGACTGGGACAGGGCTGGCTGCCACCTGGTCCTGCCACTTATCAGCTCAGTGCCTCAGTCCAAGTTCTCTAACTTCTCAGAGTACAATTCTCCTTTGGACAAGATGGAAGGATAATTTGCATAAGCTCACTAAAAAGACTGGGGCACCTGGCTGGCTCAGAAGACCATATAACTCTTGGGGCGCCTGGGTGGCTCAGTCGTTAAGCATCTGCCTTCAGCTCAGGTCATGATCCCAGGGTCCTGGGATCGAGCCCCACATCGGGCTCCCTGCTCGGCGGGAAGCCTGCTTCTCTCTCTCCCACTCCCCCTGCTTGTGTTCTGTCTCTTGCTGTGTCTCTCTCTGTCAGATAAATAAATAAAATCTTAAAAAAAAAAGACCATACAACTCTTGATCTTGGGGTGGTGAGTTTGAGCCCCACATTGGATGTAGAGATTACTTAAATAAAAAAAAATCCGGGGCGCCTTGGTAGCTCAGTCAGTTAAGCATCTGCCTTCTGCTCAGATCATACCAAGGTCCTGGGTTTGAGCCCCACATCCATCCAGCTCCCTGCTCAGCGGGGAGTCTGCTTCTCCCTCT